AAGCAGCCAGTGTCCTGAAGGCTGTAATGGCCTTGCCTTTTATGGGTGTTACATTTGTCAACACAACACTTGTATCCCTCTATTTGTTCCAACAAATTGAGGATATTTTTAGCAAATACATTGTTTCTTTTTCTCTTCTGCTCCAGCTCAGAGGTGCAGTTCACTCCTGGTGCTTTTTCCTGCAGGTTGGAGGTGCAAACGCTACGGACACAGAACAGGGGATAAGGAGTGCCCATTCTTCATTAAAGGCAATCAGAAATTGGAACAATTTAGAGTAGTGAGTACAAATACTGTGGTATTATTGCTTGTGGTTTTGAGTGCTGACGATGCATGATCTTGCAAGTGAAGAGAAGCCTGTTAGGTGATGCTTTATGAAGGATTTTTCCTCTGTCTCTAGTAAAATATAGATGCTGAGAATCTCCTCAAAATCTACGTTTGAATTGCCACCTCTGGTCAGCATCTGACATCTCTGTTAAACTTGATTGCTTAATCCTCCAACAGAAATGATTGCCCCATCTTTTTGCTGCATTTCTGCATGGCCTGAATGTCTGCAGAGTTTATTTGCCACCTTCCTTCACAACTAGCCTTTGCTGCAGTGCCTCTTTGATATAAAAATAACCAATTTAAAACCCAGTAATGGTAGTGCATAGTGTGCTGGGACAACTCCAGCTTCATTATCTGGTTGTCTCATGCTTCTTACTCCTGGATTCCTGTCTGTTTGGGTCCATGTTTTCAAAATGTCTTTAGGGGCACAGCTTAGATGAAGAACACTTAAATTTAAGAACACTTCAAGTGTTCCCTAAGGGCAGAGCTCGTTATTTTGAACTTTGATATTCCATCTATGACTAGCTGGTTAGTATTAGCTTTTCCTAAAGTAAAAACACAATAAAATTCAGATTGCTGTTAAATCTGAGAATATACTTGTGAATTAAGAGCTCACTCAGTGTCTTTCATCTCTTGACAGAAAGCCTCTTGCAGCGGGTTGCTTTGGTTTATTGTTTTAGGGAGTACAATGGTCAGTGATACTTTTCTTTACCAATACTGGATTTTCTGTTTTCCACTTTAAAAGGCCCATGAAGATCCAATGTATGATATAATAAGGGAAAATAAACGTCATGAAAAGGAAATGAGGTAAGTGTGTCTCTGCAGTAAACTATTTTCAGTTTGATTTTCATTTTGATAACACAATACTGATCTTATATTTTGATACAAGCTCCTTTACCAACCCAGAACATTTTTTTGTTGGCAGACTGAAGTATTTCTGCTTTCTCAATCATCACTCCCTAGTACTTGCTACTTTTCTAATTCTATTAGCTTCTCTAAATTTTCCCAAAAGAAACTTTAAAGAGGAGTCATACTCATTTATGCCATGTTTAGGTACTTGAGTTTAGGCCTAAAAAAAGTCTGATTTCTTTTTTTCTTTCCCTGACTTCACTGTTTTCTAAAATTTGGTGCATCAAAGTGTCTTTTGGTAGGCACGAAGGGGTGGAGGTGTTCCCCTGGGAAGGAAACAGAGGAGAGCTAGAAAGGATTCTTATTCACCTTTTATTTAAACTCAGGATACAGCAGCTGAAGCAGCTCCTGGAGGACTCTACCTCAGATGATGATAGCAGCGATGACAGTGATGATGAAGATGGCAGCAGCTCCTCTTCCTCAGAATGTAGAGATAAACACAAGAAAAAAAAGCGAAAGAAGGAAAAGAAAAAGAAAGAGAAGAAGAAGAAAAAAAAGAAGAAGCGTAAGTCCTTGAAGTCTAATGAGAAGTCAGAATCTGACTGACAGCTGCATGCTCGTTGAGCCCTACTTGTGAACTGCAAGGAAGGATCCAAAGAATGAGGAAGGAGCCCCCAGAAAGGGCTTTGTGGAAGGCAGAACATAGAGGTGGGTACACGCAGCATCCTACGCTGGCCGTCCTCTCTTCCGCCCTGCTGCAGCCAGAGAGAAGAGCTGCACTGAATCCTCACCCAGCCAGAGCTTCATGCTGAGAACCCATGCTGGGGGTCATCAGTCTTGGTCAGGCTGGGCCTCTGCATTGCCACAGGTAGCTACCAGCAGACAGCAGCAGCTACCAAGTGTTGCCAACCTGCTGCATTAGCAGACGGGCCACTGAAGTGTCTTTTCTCTGTGAAGTTGTTTTATTATATAGATGTTCCAGTTCACTGTAAAGAGGTAGTGGCTTTAGTAATTTAAAAAGGGTGGTGTTCTTGTGTTAGAAATTAAGAACATTAATTTCTACACACACTTCAGTATCAGTTGTTTTGATACGTTGGAGTGGTTTTTTTCCTTTTAAAAAGGCTTGAGGAAAATAAAGTCCAACTTGTTTTTTATGTTTACTAGAATTATTTTATGTAGCAATATTTTATGAACCATCTCAGAAGAAAATAAACATGTAAGGATTTCAAAATTATTTTCTACTATATGCATGTAAGCTGCAGAACAATAGTAAAGAACTTGGAAGCAGGAAGCAGGGAAAGTTGTGTGTACTTAATTGACCTTGTGGCCTCACCAGGCTTTTCTGTTAAATACCCTTACAGACTGTTTTTTGTGAGGTAGCTGTACAATGCATCAGAGTAAGAATCTTTTTGAAACCTCAAGGTGCAGTGTTACACAGATGTCATTTCAGGACCTGTTCCTACTCTGCAAAAGGAGAAAGAAAAATAGGTTTGCTTTGAAAGGACTGGGAAAAACTTTCTGGAACTCAGTCTCTGTGCTTGTGCTTATATTGAAGATAAAAAAAGCATGATAAAGCTCATGATAGTGTCAGTAGAGTGAACATTACCAGTGAAATCCAGGAACCATAGACTAAAGTGCATTTAAGATGTCTTTTCCCCCTCCCCCCTAGAGCTTTGGAAGAATATACATTAAAGTGTCTTCTCCCTCCTACACATCTAAGTCATCTAGTAAAAATAACCCCCCAGTCTTTCACAGTATGTTCTGGGGAAACAAGGTCATCAGGGCCTGCTTACAGAAACATTATCTTGTTCCCAGAGTTTGACTGGGGAGTTGTTTTAGCCTCCAGAATTATTTAGCCAGTCTCCTTGTAATGGGAGTTACTGGTGACTCCTGGCAGTTCCCTGTCTCATCATCAAATTCAAAGCTTGTGCCTTTTTCCACCAGAATAAGGTTGAAGAGCTGAAATAGCTGAGGAGCTTTTTTATGGACTGGATCTCTGTATTGCCTTGTCTGGTGGTGAGACAATAGCACTGGTGACCTTTGGGCAGATAGTGGAGGCCACAGCTAGTACTCACCTCATGCCTGCCAACAGAGTTCTTACTCCAGGGTGTCTAGAACAGAGCTAACTTAAAGATCTCTTCAGGTATTCCAGATTTTGTCACTTAGAACTCTTCTGAAGCTTAGTTTAATAAAAACTCAGTTTTTCCTTAGTCTGTCATCCCATTCCTTGTTAACATGTCCTTCCTGTTTTACCTACCAGGGGTTACTGTTTGAATGGTCAAATCCACAGGAGACCATTCCTAATTTAGAGCAAGTGCAATGTAAAAGTTCATTTTGAGGCACCAAAGCACTGTTCCATGCCAGACTGCAGCTGTTTGTACCAGTGTCTTTTTCCACTCATGGTCCAGAGCAGTGCAGCCTCTATTAAACTATTAAAGCTCCACACTTGAAACAATTACCTCATTTTATTCTTTGAGGTTCTGATGCAACAGAAGCTTCATGCAGCACAACAGCCAAATGAGGATTTGTGTTCTGTTTTCTTGCAGTGCTTAGGGTAAGGAAATAAAAACTTGGCACCACAGCATTGAAGTGGATCCTTTCCCCCAACAGCTTGGGGTAAAGGTTGTAATTAAGTAGCTCTTTAATCAGTAAGCAAGTGCAATTAAAACTAGAAAGACCAAGGATCAACTGGGTATGGAAAGCTCAATATTTGTCAGCTTCCTGCAGGAAATGCTGCTTTTAGCCATGTAGGTTACTCAAGGGCAGAGAGAATTAAAACACTGGGAAAGGAGGCAGAAGACAAGTCCTATCTGTCCACACCCCCCACCTTTCATTAAGGAGAAGTTTGGCCATGTTTGGTTTTTAGCTTCCTTACCTTTTCCACTCACACTGTCACTTGGGAATCACCCAGGAACAGCAGGATCATGTTTTACTTGTTTTCAGATGGTGATATTAGCTTTCACAGACATGAGAAGGAGCACACATTTGAGCTATGCACCTTTTCTAGATCAGTCTCTCTCCATTATTCATAAGCAGAGACCTAGTTTTATCATCTTAGTTCTATAAAGAAACTTCTGTGGTGAGTTGCCAAGGACAGTATCAACTGAAATAGAAGCCACCAGTAAGAAGTCAGGGAACAGGGCACACCACTGTTGTAAAAACTTCTAATAAGGCTTTGAGTCCTCTGTGGAAACCTTGAGCTGAAGAGATGCACTCTGAAGGTTCAACAGAAGAGAAGGAAGGGGAAGTATCACATCAAGTCAGTGCTTTAACTTCCATCTCAGCTGTGCATTTAAAGAGTAAGATCTGAGGAACTTTCTTGAAGCTTCAAGCCAGTACTTAACCTGATACAGCTTTAACTATTTTTCCTGACACTGACAAAACCAAATCCAGGCCAAAACCCAGCTGAGGGAAGAGAATGTTGTACCTATCCACATCACACAGCAAACTTTCTGTGAGGTGACACTGATGGGCTTCACAACCCTGCCAAGCTTTAGAAGAGGGCAGCAGGGAATGAGATGCTGTAGTGGTATTGCTGCCCACACACCCCTTATCAAACCTTTTGGCTTCCACATAGATGGAATACAAGAAGTCTCAAAGTGCAATTCTATTAAATTTATTATTTAATTAGTGGATGTGCTAGTTGTAAAAAGGTGACTTCAGTGTTAAATACTTAATTCCATTTTAATAGTGTTCTTAAGTCTTCAAGTGCTACTTCTTACCCCCTGGCACAGCAACTTACAAAATATACAAGAGAATAACAACAGAGTTTCAGGTTTATGTAAACCTCTGACATTTTTCCCCTCTCTCTTCCCCAATATTTGCAGTCACTTTCTCTTATAGAGGGACTTTCTTGTTCCATACCCTAAAGAAGATAAAAAAAAAAAAAGATTGAGGTAAACATTCTCCCCCCAAATAACACATGCCAATTTGCTTCTAAAGAATGACTAGACATCAGCAATTGCCTTTTCCTATTGTAGGGGACACTGATGGTTGATATCAGAACTATCTACTCAGCTTCCCAGCAGGGATAAATCCTCCAGGAATGGTGCTGGACTGCAGAATGCCCCCATAGAACAGATCAATTAAAAGCTCCACATGAAACAGTGTATTTCCAGCATTCCCTTGCTGAATGTATCAAAGAAACACCAACTATTTCTGGTGTGACTCTAGGAAGTATTTTGGGATTATGCAAGTTTGCTTTTACTGAAAAGAATCAGCAGTTAAAGGTTTAACACTGACATTTAAATAATCTGACTTCAGGACTTGCACCAATTTTGACTAGGACAAAGCTTCAGTCTCTTTCTGACCTTGCCAATACATGGAATTGCAATTCTGTTTGATATCCAAGAGAGACAATTTTTAACTGACTGAATATTCAAGTTAGCTTTACTGGGACAGAGTTTTCCCCCAGAAGCAACTCTGATCTTTAGGTACTTTCTATGTACTGACTTTTTCAATTTATAACTTTTTCAGGCTCTCCCACAAATGCATGTGGTTTTCCCCTTCACTGTTCTTCCCATCTTGCTCCAAAGCAGCACAGAGTTCCTACTCCATAAAGCTGAACTTCTCTGTATGAACTTGAGTCATATCAAATCCCAGTATGTGGCCCAGGACAGACCTGTGGCTTAAAGAACAGGATATATTGCAGTGACACAGGACCCAGCTTCCTACAAGGGTCATACAGCACTTTAAAGAGCAACTAGACTAAAATAATGGAGTTTGGTAGTTTGCTTTGGATTTTGTGTATATTTTTGTGTGTGCATTTTTGATTATTTATGTTCATTTTGGGATTTTTTTTTTTCCCCTCTTTTTTCCTCCCCTTAAAGGGAAGGGACCAAACCTGGTCAAAGCTACAGCAGTATTCACAGCCAGGTGAGCGAGCATTCAGAGCTTATCTTGCTTTGTTCTCACCTTGTCTGCACACACAGCATTTACTTCCCAAGCTCCCCAATATCCTTGCCATTCAAATCAAGAACCATGGGTCCCCAAGAGCAGTGAAAAAGTGCTTGCCAGAGTCCTTGCCATGGCTTGCCACCACACACCCACCTTTGCGCGCGCCGCTTCGGGGCATTGCCCACACCACTTCTTCCACCTCTCGTCTCGTGTCTCGGCGCTTTGAGGGGGGCTTGCCTAGCCTCTTCTTCTTTGGTTTAACCAAAGGTGGGCACCCTAAATAAGGCATTATATGGTGTTATTGCTCCAAAGCATGGTCTTAAGAGTTAACTTCAGCTTGACTTGGCCTGACTGGTCTGTAGAGTTGTTCCTCCTCCCATTTCAGTGGCAGATAAAGCTGACACTACATGTCTTTAAAAAGCTCAGTTCTTCAGACCCATTAAGCACCACAGATACATAGTTTGAGTCCAAATTCAGCATGATATTTCTGCTAAAGCAATATCTCATGTTTAGCCAACCGCCATTACCTAAATTTAAGATTAATTTGAAGAATGCAGTCATAAGAGAAGCAATGTTGTTGGGATGTAATTTTACTAGTGCTTTTTATCTTGTATTATTTTTATGAATTGTTGTGAGGAGCTAGGAACAGTGCTGCTCAAGTAAACCATTGTCAGCTTTAAGGTAGCCTGCTCCACAAAGAAAAAAAACCAAGCCAACCCAACCCACAACATTTTGAAGTCTGTGGATAGACAGCAGAAAGCTTCCAGTGCAGGAGGCAAATCCTCAGCCTGGCAGGCTCAAGCAGGAAAGCAAGGCAGAGAGAACCAAGGAGGACACTCTAGAGAAGACTCTACTGGGCTGTTGATCCAGGAAACCTGGTGTGTATTGTCACTGAAGCCAGTCTGCTATGAAGCCAACTTCACACTTATCTGAGAGACTGATCCTGTGATACTTGAGAGCATGGGACCCAGGAGAGTAGTTAATGCTCAGACTACAGCAAGTTCTGTTGTTCCAACAGCACTTAGACTAGAGAAACACCCTTGAAGAGCATCTAGAAACAGCTGAACTCTAAGTAGATCTTACCTGTAAACAAAAACCATTCTGCTTTGGGAGGAAAAAAGGTACAGAAAATATCTAACTTTTTACTTTAGAGTAACTTTGATTTGTTCATCCTTTCCTTAACCACATGGAGATGATCCACACTCAGACATCCTTCAGCAGTAGTGGGGCAACTCTGGGTCCCCCCTAGTTTCTCTGAACCTAGGCCTAGGTAGCTATCACACATGACTTCCTATGTGCTCTGCTCACCAAGATTAGGAGCTACCATCATGTGTGCACTCAAGAAAAGCATTATCTGGGTAAATAATTAACACTACAGTTTATGGCAGTAGCAGCCTTGTACAAATAAGGGCTTTCCTTGGCCACAGCAAAGCATTTGATGCTTTGATTTCCCATGGTATATTAAAAACCAAACAATAATACATCCTTATTCACAAGCTGAAGTTTGAGAAGGATGTAAGTATACCCTGAGATGTACTGACAGGCCTTCCATCAATATGAACAATAAGGAAAAAAAACACCAAAACAATTCTTAAAATCTTAAACAAATCCCTTATATTTTGAATGTTCCTTAAACAGAAACACACTGAAGAACTAAGTTGTACCTTGCTCTTGGCTCTTGACTGGGGGTGAGAGACTCCCGTGTACTTGGCTGGTTAGTTTGGGTTTAGCACCACTTCTAATCCAGAGCTCTTCAGGTATTATCTCCACACTCTCCCGTAACAGCTTTCCTAATTTTAAAAGGAAAAAGTTGTTTTTAAAGTCAGTGGGTAGTTTTGGTGATGCTGATACTGTTTGATCCACAAGCCAGAAGGCAAAGCTAGCTATTGGATCTCATTGTAAGGGTCCATTAAAACAGTTTTCTGGAGGCCACACTTGACAAAAGTTACAAGCTGCTTTAAGCCTACACATTTTGTAGAAAGAAAATAAAATTTAAGAACACTAAGCCTGTTAGAAGTTGATCACTGTTTTAGATGCCTTTCACAATACTGTACAAAACAGCAGCCACTTAGTGAAGTGCCCACAAAACCAGTTATGAGCCCTGACTGGTAGCTCTGCTTATTCCCAGTTCAGATGAAGCCAATTTCTACCACTATCTACTTCAATTAAATAAAATGTTATTTTCCAGATCAAATTGAATCCAGTTTCACACTGATTTTTAGGAAACTTGGCAACAATTTTTGCTACACAGTAGTTGCTGCTGTCTTACAGTATAAAAATTAATGGTTTGACTTCTGTTCTGCAGAGAAGTTACACAAGTTGTGACCTCCAGATTATAATGAACTTAATTCTGTTTAATTCACCTAACAGAAGTCTGATGGGAGAGTCAGAATATTTGTATAAATTAATAATCATTTGGAAACTCAACATTTAACAATTGTAAGTAGTTCAAATGACCTTAAGATCTTCAAATGAATAAATTGTCACTCACATCACAAAGTGTATAAAAAAAATCAACTCAAATGAAGGTTCCTGCTGGCCGTGAAGATGCAGAATCCTTCTCAATAGGTTAAAAAAACATTGCAGCTGACTCCTCCTGCCTCAAAAATCCTGCAGTACTTCTGTTTGTTTTCCAAACCTGAAGCTAAAGCATTCTCCAGTCTTCCCACTGGTTCAAGCTACAATTCCCAACTGCAGTGAGGTGCACTTTGTCCTCAGCAGTGAGCTTACCTCCCAAGAGTTTCCGGAGCAGCCGCTGGTGTTCGAGTCCTTCCCTGCTGGCTGTAGGCCTCTTTCTTCCATAATACACATAGTCATTGTGACCACCTTCAGCTTGCTCTCTCCCCTTTGCCTTGTACACGACACCGATGTCTTCCCCGAGCTCAGTCCTAGTTTTCACCTTCTCTTGAAGAGGCCAGCTGATTAACTGAGCTGGTATAGCATTTTTAGGTGGTTTCCAAAGCAGCCTCCGGCCAACTTTGTAGAAACTTCCTTTACCAGGCGTCAAGATCCCAAATGGGGTGGCTTCTTGAAAGAAATACCCCATTTCATCCATGTCATCATCCTCCTCCTCCTCTTCCTCCCCATCTTCATCCTCCTCTTCTCCCCTCACAGAGTATTCTTCAGAGTCCTCCATTTCAGACAAACTCTTAGCTGCTTTACTGAGATAACTGATTTTTCTCTGACCTGAAGGTCTTGGAAGGGCTTCCAGCTTCCTACCTTTACAGGAAGCCTCTTTACTCTTCACGGTTACAGAGGTTTTGACATCTTGGTCATTCAAGCTGTTCATCTGCTCCTTTCCTACAACTTCACCTTCATTAAGGGACCCAGCACTTTTGATTTGCTCTTTCTGCAAGCCCTCTGTACTTTTCTGGAAAGCGTACGTGCTCTTCTGAAGCACATAGTCAGGGACGAGATAAGCCACTGTGGCATTATCAATGGATGAGCCTTCCTCTCTGGAGGACATGTCGTCAGAAGACAGACTGAGTACACTTGGACGTTTCTTTTGTGGCAAGCAAATGCCATCACAGTTTGTGTCCATGCTGTCCAGGCAGGCCAGCCAGCTGCTGGAGGGAACGTACTTCCCAGCTGACTCAGCACACCAAATGCTTTTATCTCTTTGACTTCCGTTCGCGACGCTGTGGCCTGGGGTAACTTTGTTCTGCTGAAGACTCAAGTTGCTCATTTCCTCCACACCAGGGGGAAGCAGTCCTGCTTGGTGAACAACGCTGGGCTCTTCTTGAGGAGTTTTGGAGCCTGGGGATTTTTTAGAGCTCGGCTTCTTAGCTCCTACCACATCCTGTCTTACTACTGGCTGATCTATGCCAACAGATCTTGCCAGCCCTGTGGCTTGCACTGCCATGGTTTCACCCGGGAGGCATTTTGCCTGTTGACTTGTATTCACCTCCTTTTCTGCATCCAGCTTCACTTCAATGTTTTGGATCTCTCTTTCTTGCACGGGTTCAACGCCCTGTTTTGAGGTGAGAACAGCTTTTCTCTCATCTAAAGAAGCTCCTGGCACCGTTCTCTCCCCTTCACGAGGGCCATATATGATTCCTTCACACGAGCCAACAGAAAACAAGTCACGCTGCACTAACTCCTCTGGGACTGGCTTCCCACTCGCCACGTTGTACAAAGGGATCGTCTCTTTAAAGGACTTCCACAGTTGAATAGCTGGAGAGCCATTGCCATATTCTATCCTCACTTCCTCCTTCTCAAAGGCATAGCTGCCAGTAGGAAGGTTTCTATACTGCGCAGAGCTGGAAGGGCTCTTGTTATGAAACTCTCTGTCCACCACAATGGAAGATCCAGATGAATCTTGTTTCTCTGAAGTGCTTTCAGTCTCTGTACCTATACCAGAAGAAGCACAGGTCATACTTCCTGCATCACAGCCTTTCGTTTCTGTACGGATATCTTGATGCTTGTTTTCAGGCTGTCTGGGATCAGTCTGTGTTTCTTTTGTCTCCATTTTTTTCCCATGGTTACTATAGTGCCTAAATCTCGTTGCATGATAAAACACAGGGGAAGGTTGGGGAGCATTAAAATAAGGCCTTCTGTTAACTCTTGCTTGCACTGGATGCTGTGGAACAAGATATGCAGGGTACTCGTGGAGCGCAACGGAGTAAAACGGCAGGTATGGATTTCCACTTCGGAAGCCTAGACAGAGATAAGAGTGAAGCCAAATTTATCTTCTTTCTAGAAGTCAGTCTGATTAATATTTGCTTGCACACACAGGGATGTCTACAAGACAGACACACAGGCAAATAAATCACTCTACCCATCAATGCCCAGAAGCAAATCTGGAGCAGGAGGCTAGAGAGAATTCCTTGTTATGGAACAGCTTATCTGGACAGCTACACTTCAACCAGAGCTTGATTTTATTGCTTGGAACACACACCAAGCAGCTTGCTGTAGTTTTTTTTTCAATGGACTATGCTATAGCATTGTCTCTGAAGAAGACAGCTCCAGATAGAAGTCAATAGAGCAGCCTGCTCTAGCTGCAGATGTCCCTGATCACTGCAGGGGAGTTGGACTTAAATGACTTGCAAAGGTCCCTTCCAACCCATCCTATGATTCTCTAAATGCAGATATATAATTCACAAAATCTATTTAACAGAGTTGGGTGGGTTTTAAAGTCAATTTTTCTCCATAGCTATAATGTGTGCATGTGTGGAACATATATACACCCACAAAGTAATGGTTAGGCACATCCTAAAGCTCTGCATCTGTAGAATAGCCATTACTTCACATTTTGCTTGCTTTCCATTCCCCAGAAACTGATGCTTTTCCAGCACACAAGCTACACATTCAACTAACACTTCATAAATCTTTGAAAACACCTCACTAACTCTACCTGAAAGCCCCAGCAGCTTGCAGACACAGACATTTACATCCTCCAGTCCAGCAGCAACGCAGCTGAGGCAGGTCCCGTTCCCTTACCTGGGGCAGGCACACAGTACGGCGGGTACGCGTGAGCGGGGTACCATGGATTTGGGAAAGGCTGCTGTGCTGCTGGCTGCGTGTAAAAGAAGGGCCTGCTTTGGTTTGTGGAGTACGAGCCACTCTCCGAGGTGGAGGCAGTGTTCATTGTTTTGGTCTCTAAACAGTGGAAGAGAAAGATGATCAGGATTAACCCCTTTAAAAACTCCATGACCTAATGATTTTTAAGTTAGCAGGAATCCTTCTCCCAGCCTAGTGAAACCAGAACTTTCTAGAAAAAGGCCACTACTTTCTAAACAGAAAGTAGAAAACTGATGTTACTATAAAGTCAAAGATTTTATTTCTCCTTTTCTAAGCAATTTTTTATGCACAGCTCTCAATATTAGTAATTAAAGCCAACCTTACAGCACATTTTAAAGTCACAGGACCAGTAACTTCAGTGTTAGATGCACACATCCATCTCAGTCATATTCCAGCCCATTAAAAACCAGTTTTCAGTCAGCCCTGATTAAGAGGCTTCAAAAAAACCCAGCTCACAACAGGAGACTTCACAAAATCAGGAGCTTGGTGCTGCATGAAGAAGACACTTAATGCCAACACATATATTGTATTTAAGACCACAGTAAGACCTCTAATTCAGGAGTTGTACTTCACAAGATGCTTAAGAACAATTACAGCTAACATAAAACAAGTTTTTCAGTAGCTCCAAGCTTAAACAAAATTACAGGTAATAAAAAGCAAATCCTTCCACACAAGTTCACATTCAAATCCACAAGACAGAGTTCCTCCCACATTTAACATATCTCCCCAGTTAATGACACACAAAGTTTGGTCCATTCCAACCTGTACAAGTGACACAACCCTGCCACATGCACAGCTTATAAACAAGAATAAAAGAAATTAGAGACCACAGAAGATCTAGTCATTATCCGGAAAAAAAACCCAAACAGAGAACCGCTGAAGTCTTTGGAGAGCTCAGGCATTTCAAAGTTACAGAAAAAAAGAGTTGAACTCCAGACCTGCTACAGACTAGCACACAGTTCAGCCTAGAATTTCAGAAAGCTTTCAGGGACGCTGGAGCCCTCTTCAGTCTCTGTCCGGAATGGCCTCTCCAGCTTTTGTAAGCGCCAAAAAGCCTACGGACTTCCCTCACTCTCCTGGGTCAAAGCTCCCTAAATTATTTTGACCTTTGAGAATGAGACAAAGAGAAAAAAAAAAAACAAAACCAAACAAATAAACCCCCCCCAAACCCAGCCCTCAAAACCCACACTATTCCCACCCTACTAGAGCCCCTCAGAGCTAAGGTCCATGCTGCTGCTGCTGCTGCTCACAGCCCAGCAAGAAACTACTCAAACCCTCCACTCACCTTCTTTATGGTGGGTGGGTGCTGCTTGTCCCCTCCCCCTTCCACCTGAGGCTCATCCCACAATGATGTGGGGGCTTTTTTTCCATCAATGGCTGGCCAGGAGAATCAAAACATGAGGACAGGAACAGTGGTAAGGGCCTTCAGCTGGTGCACAGAAGGCTGGTAGCCTCCTCTTGCCAATCTTTCAGTTGCATCGAACATTTCCCTTTCGTAATGTTGGAACTTTGATGAAAAATAACCCAACAGACACATATGACAGATATTTATGAAACAGGAGGTTAGAATTTGACTCTACTCTGGGTCTCTGCAGGAGATGAGGATCTGAGTGGCAGCTTCACATCTCAGAGTGACAGAGTGCTGGTGGTGGGAGAGATGGTGAGAGAAGGAAGCACAGCTATGGAGCTAGGTGAGCAACTAGAGAAAAACAGAGCTGTGGATACTTACAGACTGTGTTACAGTTCTAGCCTGGGAAATTCCTGTAATTTACAGGTTTTTTTCTTTGTCTAATGATCAGATTAAGCCTGTCGTTCACAGTAAAACATAACTTATGAAATGTCTGGGGAGGTTTACTGATCTGGTTCTTCACAGACCTCCCCAGTCAAAGCTTGCCCTTTCCATCGAGGACAGCTCCTGTGCTTCATAGGTGACTTGTCACGTTCTAAATCCCCAACTCCTGCATTCATCAGGTTAAGTTTTCACCTTTTTAAAGTCAAACTCCTAGCTTTTTTTCGTGATGGATGGACCCAATGGGAAAAAGGTTAAAAAACAAACCCTAGTTTTTATAAAGTTGCCTGCCCTCAGTATTTCCCTTTCCCTTGGACCAGACTTCAGGCTCTCCCCACTTCCCTTGCCCCTGCTCGTTCCCTCCTGTGGCAGGCTCAAGACCCCACAATCCTTTTTTTTTGTGGCTTTTGCTGGGGCAAACCTCATCTCTGAGGCTCCTGCGTTTGGCCAGAGGATGTTTCAGCTGCTGCGGCAGGGAAGAATGGAGGCTCTGGGAAGAAGGCTCTGGGAAGAAGAAAGCAACACAGCTGGTTGAGCTGTGCCCCACGGCCAGCCCTCAAGGGGCCAAGGGTCTCCTGGGGTGACTGAGAAGCCTGGGACCAGCAGGTTAAGGAAAGTTCTCCCCTCCCTGTCAACTCTGCCCTGGTGAGGCCACCTC